TAATTATGTTGAGAGCACTATCTCTAAAAATGAACCCGGCAATATACGAATTCAAATTTAATTAATTTTTTATATGAGAATATATCAAATACCGAGTGGAATATAAAAAATAAGTTCCCCATTATATATCCCCCATTGCACTATTGTTTTCATTAGCATATTTTTTCCTTTCCTCAAGGAAATATCCATTTTGAAATGCACATAATTAAAGGGTATAACCCGTTCACTTATGGGTCATTTGGAAATACTATAATTTTATTATTTTTAATATTTTGTACTTCCTCCTATCTAAAGTATTAATTTGTTATGTATATGGTTATAGATATTTTTTTTTAAAATGGCGTGCAAAAATCATAAAAGACAAATAAATGCATATTTTATCTCTAAGAAATAGCCATTATTTTATGGATACAAATTCAATTTTTACAAGAATACATATGGTGGAATTTTTATTTTATTTTTCAGTATCTTTGGTATAAAACAAGCTACTTGTACTTTCTTCTCTTATTTATCCCTTTTGTGCATATTTATTAGTTCATATTTGATATGAAATATTTTTTTAAAAAATAATAAGTAAAATAAAGATGTTACAATATCATGCTTAGTTATTACTCTCTTTGTCCCAAAATAAGGTCAACACAAAAATTAATAGTACTATATATTTTCAACTGTACCTTTATATTCTTTTTTTTATTTTATATAGTGATCAATTTCAAGAGACATATATTAAATAAGGACGATTTGGTAAACTACATATCATACTTATTAATTTTTAACTTGACACAATTTACTAAAGTGATATTTACTTTTGGATCGAGGGATTATAAGTCATTTAACCTATTATATCCTCAATTAATTACTTTGAAAATGTAGAACTTTTTAAAAATATTAAGTTTTTAATTCATCCACTTCATAATTAATAGGGGTAAAATGGTAAACTCATTATGTCAATTATTGATTTCTTAATATGTGTGCCAATTCAAAAGTGGACAAGTAATTAGGGACAGAAGGAGTAATAAATTAGAAAAATATAAAATAATAAAATTGAACCGAAAAGTAATTTTTAATCTAATATGGGAAAATAAAATAAAAAGGTCCAAATAGTATGGCCTATTGAAAATTGGACTTTGAGGGCTTCAATATTGATGCCTCATAAAGGATGTTGGTTGAGAGTTTGACCGTCCGTTAAATGAGGAAGAAAAAAAAAGGAGGGGGGGGGGGGGGGTT